GTCCCGGCAGTGCGCACATTGCGTGCAGAGAAGGGACGGTCGGCTGTGCCGCGGGATCGCCCTGACGGGAAGGAGACTGGGGCTCCAGACTGCTCTGAACGCCACCTCCAACTCCATTTCCAACTGAACTGAACCCCAATACCGGGCTCATTGTGGGAGAGCATAGACTGTTTGGCAGCAGGCGAAAATCGAGGGCACCTTTCTCTCAGAGGCGCTGGCAGCAGCGAGCACTGAAGGACCCGCATAGGGCGGGGCTGACAGAAGCCAAAGCTGCAGGCTCCACCCTGAAACCCCGTCCCATCTGTAACTGCGAAATGCGACAACAAAATAGATCACAAACGAAAGAAATGGAGGACAAAAAGCGTCTGGATATAGAGTTCAAATCTACGCTTATAAGTTTTTTCAAGAATTTCTTAGAAAAGATGGATAAGGGCTACGAGGATATGAAAAGAGATCAACTAGAATTAATAAGGAGTCAACAAGAAATGATAAGGGATCAACAAGAAATAAAGAATACATTGTCTGAAATAAAAAATATTTTACTGAGTCCTAAAAACAGAAGGGAAGATCGCAAGAATCAAGTCAAAGATTTGGAACATAAAGAGCCAGAAGACACTCCTCCACAGAAGCTAGAAGGCAAGAGAATCCAGAAAATTGAAGATAATGTAAGAAACCTCTGGGACAACTTCAAGCGAACCAACATCAGAATTATGGGGGTCCCAGAAGATGAGAGAGAGCAAGATATGGAAAACATACTGAAAGAAATAGTGACAGAAAACTTCCCCTACCTGGTGAAAGAATTAGACTTACAAGTCCAGGAAGCGCACAGAACTCCAAACAAAAGGAATCCAAAGAGGACCACACCGAGACACATCATTATTAAAATTCCAAGAGCAAAAGACAAAGAGAGAATATTAAAAGAAGCAAGAGCAAAGAAGGTAGTAACCTACAAAGGAGCACCTATACGATTGTCAGCTGACTTCTCAACAGAAACCATGCAGGCCAGAAGGGAATGGCAAGAAATATTCAAGGTGATGATGAATAGCAAGAACCTACAGCCAAAAATACTCTACCCAGCAAAGCTATCACTCAGAATCGAAGGCCAGATAAAGAGCTTCACTAATAAAAAAAAGCTAAAGGAGTTCATCACCACCAAATCAGAATTATATGAATTGCTGAAGGGGGTTCTTTCAGAAGAGAAAGTAAACAAAGATAAAAATTATGAACAACAAATACATAACTATCAACAAGTGAATCTAAAAACCAAGGAAATTAAAAAAATCTGATGAACAATATTAACTGTTGAATATAATAGAATCAGAGGTATGGAAGGGGAGTGAACTGACGATTCTTGGGGAAAAGGGGAGAGGGGGGCGTGGGAAGAGACTGAACATAAACTGTGCACCTATGGATGAGGACAATGGGGAGAGGGGAAAGGGCAGAGGGTGGGATGGGAACCTGGTGGAGGAGAGCAATGGTGGGTGGGGGGAAAGGAACATTTGTAATAATATGAACAATAAAAACTTATTAAAAAAAAAAAAAAAAAAAAAAAAAAGAAAGTGTTCATTTGTTAGAAATGGGTGCTAGAAAAGAAAAATCGGCTTCCATTCAAGAAGTAAGGCAGGGAGCTGATACATTATAAACCTGTTAGTACAGCTACTGTGGCTCCGTTGGTTGGGCATGATCCCATGTACCAAAAGGTTGCTGATTCGATTCGTGGTCAGGGCACATGCCTGGGTTGCAGGTTTGATCCCCAGTAGGGGGTGTGCAGGAGGCAGCCAATCAGTGTTCCACCCTCAGCCTCCCAAGGCCGGCCCGAGGCACATGCAAGCCTCAGGCAGCAGCTGCCCATCCGCCCAGGGCCGGCCCATTGATGTTTCTCTTTTTGTTTATTTTTAATCCTTACTCAAGGATATGCCTTTATTGATTTGAGAAAGAGAGGAACAGGGAGGGAGGGAGGGAGAAACATCAATTGGCTGCCTCCCCCACATGCCCAACTGGGGATCGAACCTGCAACCTTGATATGTGCCCCAACCAGGAATTGGACCCACGACCCTTCAGTACATGGGAGGACACTCCAACCAACTGAGCCACACCAGCCAGGGTCTATTAATTTAATATTCTCTCTTTGTGGATATCTTTTTCTGTTGTTCAGGGGTTTTAAAGAAGCATGTTTAGGCTCTTTAAGGAGAAATTTTCTAATAATTATAACTGTTCAAAAGTAAACTGAACTGCCTATCATTTCAAGTATGCATAAATAAGCTAATAATCATTCAGACAGGGATGCTTTAGAGGTGGTGGGAGGTTGAAATAAATGATACGAAGTTCCTTATTATCTCCAGTAACTGATTTTAAGTCTTTGCCTTAGTTCATAGTAGAGGCCCAGTGCGTGAAAATTCATGCACTCGATGGTGGGGTCCCTCAGCCTGGCCTGCCTCCTCTCACTGACACAGTTCATGGCCACTTTAGTCAATATTGATTGGTCAGTTCTTTGGGCTCATAATTATCCATAGGCCTATTTGGTTTTTATTTATAAACTAGAGGCCTGGTGCATGAAAATTCGTGCACTGGGCCGAGACCGGTTTGGCTCAATGGATAGAGCGTCAGCTTGGGGACTGGAAGGTCCCGGGTTCGATTCCAGTCAAGGGCATGAACCTTGGTTGCGGGCATATCCCCAGTAGGGGGTGTGCAAGAGGCAGCTGATCGATGACTCTCTCTCTCATCGATGATTCTAACTCTCTCTCTCTCTTCCTTCCTCTCTGTACAAAATCAATAAAATATATTTTAAAAAAAAAGAAAGAAAGAAATAAAGAAAATTCGTGCACTGGAGGGGGTGGTCCCTCAGCCCTGTCTGCCCTCACAGTCCGGGAGCCCTCAGGGGCAGGAGGCGACCCAGCGGTGAGGGGAAGGCAACACCCCATCACACCTCTGCTGCTGCCACTGCTAGCAGCACAAGTCTCGGGCGGCCCTGGTTACATGAGCCTTGGGAGGTTGGGCAACCACCATCCAAGGCTTGCCTGTGCCTTGGGCCAGCTTTGGGCAGCTGGGGGGCTGAAGGGACTGGGGGACTCTGGAGGCAGGCACCCTGGCAGGCCTGAGGGGATTGGAAGCTGCCATCTTGTGGCTGTGGGTACCACCATCTTTGAGGGCATGGCAATCAATTAGCATATTCCCTCCTTACTGGGTGTGGGCACCACCATCTTTGTAAGGGTATGATGGTCAATTAACATATTCCCTCTTTATTAGATAGGACTAGTAGCCCTGTGCTCAAATCCGTGCACCAGTAGCTCACCATTAGCTCGCTGCTGCCCTCCAGTAGCTCTTCACCATGACCCTGCCCCCTCCTGTAGCTCTCTACCACCTCCTTGTAGCTTGCTGCCCCACCCTCCTGCTAATCTGTGATCCGGTCATTACTAGGTCAGTCGTTACACTTCACGGCGTAACAACCATTTGCATATTACATCTTTATTTTATAGGTTTCCTGTTATTACATGTAGAACTTGTTTTTCCAATTTTTAAAAAAACTTTTTGAGCCCTGGCTGGTTTGGCTCAGTGGATCAAGCATCAGCCTGTGGATCCTAGTTTCTACTCTGGTCAAGGGCACATGCAGGCTCAATTCCCAGTAGAGGGCATGCAGGAGGTAGCTGATCAATGATTTTTTTTTTTTTTTGATCAATGATTTTCATCATTGATGTTTCTATCTCTTTCCCCTCCTCTATAAAATTAATAAAAATATATTAATTTTTATTAATATATTTTTAAGTCATAAGTAAATTAAATCACATTTAATAATTTTTTAAGTATAATTTCTTTTTGTACTCTTTTCAGGAACTATTGTGAGGACTTTTAATTCCATGCAGACATAACACACTACCAAAATCTAAATCTCATTTTGTTTCAAATTTTTCTCCCCCCTATTGGGTATTAATTGTAGATTGTATAATTAAATGGATAGCTGAGGTTCTATATTCAAAATTTTGTACGGACTACTTATATATCAAAGAATACTTGTACTTAATGCATTGTGTCCACAAACTTTTGATCATCTCCAGAAGGCATGGCCCTGACTTCACATTTTAATGTTTTGCTCTGTTGGTAAAACTGTTATTGAAGCCACACTTTACAAAGAAAGAAATGTTGGCTGGAACTTGACACATAATAGATTATATTGGTCGATACTAGAAAGCCTGACTACTGGAGTAGATGTGTCCATGAGGTTTAGAGGTGCTCAAGCAGTGCTGTCTGATACAGTAGCCACCTGTGGCTATTGGCACTTGAAATGTGGCTGGTATTAAAACTAAGGAACTAATTTTTAATTTTAATTGATTTAAATTTAAAAACTGGTGGTTGAGCCCTGACTGGTTTGGCTCAATGGATAGAGCGTCGGACTGCAGACTCAAGGGTCCCAAGTTTGATTCCAGTCAAGGGCATGTACCTTGGTTGTGGCCACATCCCCAGTAGGAGGTGTGCAGGAGGCAGCTGATCGATGTTTCTCTCTCATTGATGTTTCTAACTTTCTATCCCTCTCCCTTCCTCTCTGTAAAAAAATCAATAAAATATATTTTTTAAAACTGTTGATTTAATTATTAGAAAATTTTTATGTGTGTTTGGAAATTTGGGGTATATGAGCCTACTTTTTTAATTATATGTTTTATAATTTAAATATAGATCAAGTATTTCTGATGATAGCATAGCATTTAAATTGAGATGTAAAAGTACAAAATACTAGATGTCAGAGACTTAGTATGAAAGCAATATGAGATATTTCCGTTTTTATTATACTTTGAAATAATATTTTAGATATTTATATTGGGATGAGTTAAAATATTAAAATCAATGTCACCTTTTTAATGTGGCTACTAGACTGTTTAAAATTATATGTTTTTCATATTTCTATTAGACAACATTGTTATAGAATTCTTTTAAGAAACTTAAAATTATACTTTCATGTTATTCTTGCTGCCAAAATGCTAATTTTAATGGTGGTCTTTATAATTTAGATTATAAGAAGACCAGTCTAGGTCCTTACGTAAAAGTTTTTGAAAAGTTTCTTGAAAACCTGGATAAATCCCGAAAAGGAGAACTTCTCAAGAAGAGTGGTAAGACTATGCCTTTTCCTTTTAGCTATTTAGATCTTAGTATATTAGTTTAAAACATCCAACAAGTGAGCAATTTTAGACCTCTAATCCTAGCCCTCCCTAAAATGTTATTGATTTATCTTACTGTCCTTAGTGTTTTTAAAAATTAAGGTCCCTTAATTCAGTTCAACACATATTTATTAAAACACCTTCCAACTATAAGGTATTGATACTATGTGGGAAACAAAGATGAATTATACAAAGATGAATTCCACACCATGCCTTCCTGCCCTGAGGAAGTATTAACGTACAAAATATTAAAAAAGAGATAACATCAGATTAAAATAACTTGAAAAGATTTCATATGCTTCAGTATGCTGCTATAAGAAGTCTAATCCCCCAGTGTGCCAATATATCATGCCTTAAAGTATGAGTAATATTTCCACAAGCAGATTTGATAAGATCGGGGTACGGGAGTGGAAAAAAGGAGACAGTTTATTCATTGTTGAAGCAAAGGCATAGAAACAAAAAAGCATAGGGTCACTGTGAAGGCCATCAAGTAGTATGGCTAATCTGGAAAAAGACGTGTCAGGAAGTGATGAGATAAAAATCTGAAGAAGCAGACTAAGAAAAGGAGTCTCGTGATGTGTAGTTTTGTCTAGAAAGATAAATCTAACACTGTTGTTAGATTTATCTTTCTAGACAAAACTACACATCACGAGACTCCTTTTTTAATATATATTTTATTGATTTTTTACAGAGAGGAAGGGAGAGAGATAGAGAGTTAGAAACATCAATGGAAAAGAAACATCAACCAGCTGCCTCCTGCACACCTCCCACTGGGGATGTGCCCACAACCAATGTACATGCCCTTGACCAGAATCGAACCTGGGACCCTTCAGTCCGCAGGCTGACGCTCTACCCACTGAGCTAAACCGGTTTCGGCTGTTTCTAGCTTTTTATCCCTCTCTCTTCCTCTCTGTAAAAACTCAATAAAATATATATATATATATATATATATATTTTTTTTTTTTTTAAAGAGTATCAAGTTTATAGTAGGTAACTGATAAAATCCTGTTGAATATAGGAGCTAGAGGGAGGTGCTAAGAGTATAGCAGTGTCAAAGGAAGCATTCTTTGGATAGGTGGATAGGAGGGACCAGAGCATGTGTGTAAACCAAAAGAAAAAAGTCAGTCGTGAATATTATTTAAGAGATTGATGAAGCCGAAACTGTTTTGGCTCAGTGGATAGAGCGTCAGCCTACAGACTGAAAGGTCCCAGGTTCGATTCCAGTCAAGGGCATGTACCTTGCTTGCAGGCACATCCCCAGTCAGGGGGGTGCAAGAGGCAGTTGATTGATGATGCTCTCTCATCGATGTTTCTAACTTTCTATCCTCTCTCTTCCTCTCTGTAAAAAAATCAATAAAATATTAATTTTTTTTTTTTAAAGAGAGAGATTGATGAATACCATGGAAAATTGTGCCAACATTATAGAAATATAAACTCCCTTCCTGCTTCACAATAAAATGTGTGATGGCTAAACAGTAGTGCCTAAAATAATGCTCTATTCATAGTAGATACTCAAATATGTGCCTGTTGAATGAACAATGATGATGACTCTGAGCTTGGAAAGCCTTGTTAAAGCTGCCATTCCAACTGACGATATTTGTATTCTTGTTCTGTACTAGCCCCGCCTATAGTGTGGGCTTCAGTAAATGTGAAAGCAAATCTTTATGCCACATAGTCTTTTTTTATTTTTTTTATTTAGTGGAAGCATCAAGCAAGTCAGAATGGGCTTTGTTCCGTTTTCCTTTACTATCCTCTGATAAAAATCTGTTCTATTTTAGATTTACAAAAAGACTTCTGAAGATAACAACTTCCCTCCAACTAATGTGGATAACTTCTATCTTCAACCAAGAATCAAATACTTCAAGAGTCATTAAATAAATATGGCAGAACTTTGTATGCATTTTAATACTCAAAATTTTTTTTTCTTGAGGAATAATTATGTTGAAAAGATTCCTAAGACCACCAAAGCAGTGTCCAGGCTGCTGGAAGGAACAATAATGGGCAGGATAAGTCAATTGCACATAAATTTGTAAAAATGTAATATTATATAAAGACTAGAGGTCCATGCACAAAATTCATGCACACCCAGGTAGGGTCCCTATTGGCTGCCACTGGCCTCCCTTCCCTCAGTTGGCCGGCTGGCCCCGCCTCCTGGTTGAACTCCCAGTCAAACCCCCAGTTGGAACAATTTGCACATTAGACTTTTATCATAAGATAATTCTAAGATTTCTGTTATAAATACTTTTAACAGTTGCTATATATAGAGGTAACTGAACAATAATATGCCCAAGATTTTAATCTCAGCTTGTTGGATACAGCATTCATATTTTGGGAATTAATATTCTAGGTGAATTAAAGCTTTATCCTTCAGTCATAGACACTTCATTGTACCTGCAGTGTGTATTCAGTCACTTCTCTTAACAGTTTCACGCCCTCATGCCGCCAGGTTGAATCCTCCGGGCGGACTGCGCGATCCCACTCGTGTTTACCTCTTAACGGTGTATTCAGTCACTTTGCTTACTAATATTTTTATAGATCAGTCCACACCTCAATGCCCATCTTTTAAAAATCATTTTAAACGGAGCATCTAAATCTACTAAAAGTTTAATTCAAAAGACATGAGATACTAGATTATAATATGGTCTAGTGTTGTTTGCAACTGCTGTAATCAAAGCTCCTTAGATTACAGAACAATTGGAACAATTAGTCTACATCGTAAAGAAGCAGCTTAGAAAAAAAATCCAACTTCACCAACATAAAACCTGTTTTACTTGTCAAAACACTTGGACTTTCTATATATCCAGGTAACTTTAAAGTTTTCATTTCTCCTGAATTTGATTTTGTGTGATAGATTCTAAAGTGTCAGATTTCTTTTTTTCTGGTTTAACAACCAGTCTCAGCAAGACATCCCTTTTGCCCTAGCCTGTATGGCTCAGAGTGCTGGCCTACAGACCAAAGGGTCCTGGGTTTGATTTCAGTCAAGAGCGCTATGTCAGTCGCAGGCCCCTCCCCAGCCTGGGCCTGGTCAGGGCATGTGCAGCAGGTAACCAATCGATGTGTTTCTCTTTCCCTCCTTCCATTCTGTAAAATCAATGGAAAAATATCCTCAGTCAATAAAGTAATTAAAGAAAAAGAAAAATATCCTCAGGTGAAGATTCAAAACAATGCAAACCATTGTCTTCTGAGAAATACTGGGAAGCAAACTGGTCCTTCTATGACTTAAGAAAATATTCCTTCCTTTCATTTCTCTTAACATTGTTTTCTGTATAGCCACACAGCCTTTTTTTTATATAATCTTTTGGTTTATATCAAACCCTAAAATACAGTCAACATACTGAAATGCCTTGCATTTCTTTCTCTTCTAATTTTTTAAGAAAAAATATTAAAGATTATGGTTCAAAATTCTGCATTACTTGAGCTTCTGTGTACTATGTATTGTTCAGTCTTCAAGTTTGGGGAAAAGTGGATCAATTGAAATTCCTAAATACAAAATTAATAGACTCATTGGTCCACCTTAAGAACTTAGAATGAGAATAGGATTGTTGTTACACTTTCAATAAGATCTTTTAAGCTTCTAACAAGTCTAGCATTTAAGTATTTCAGTGCTTTAATATAGTCCTTGGATATTGGTATACTAGCCCATAAAATTAATTATAAAACATATCATGCACATGTAATAATAAATGTTTGATTCCTGACAGCAGAAAAATACTCAAAGACTACTGACTTTCCTGCCCTGGCTGGTGTGTGCAATGGTTAGAGCATTGGCCCTGCATTGAAGGGTCTCATGTTCAATTCCCAATCAAGGCCACATACCTGGGTTTCAGAAGGCAATCTGTGGATCAGTATTTCTCTCTTCTCACTCTCTCTGAAAAGCAATGGGAAAAATATCCTCAGGCAAGTATTATTAATAAAATAAAATAAAAAGACTATTAACTTATTTGGTTTGCCAACTCCTATATATGTAAGAATTATAGAAACAAAGGGAATAGCCGAAACCGGTTTGGCTCAGTGGATAGAGCATCGGCCTGTGGAAAGGTCCCGGGTTCAATTCTGGTCAAGGGCACGTACCTTGGTTGCGGGCACATCCCCAGTAGGGGGTGTGCAAGAGGCAACTGATCGATGATTCTTTCACATCGATGTTTCTAACTCTATCCCTCTCTCTTCCTCTCTGTAAAAAAATCAATAAAATATATTTTTTAAAAAGAAAAGAAAAAAAACAGGGCATAGAACTGGTTTCCATTTCCAAACTTGTCCAATTTATAAAGAAACCCAAAGAAAGAAAATAGACCCTTTCCTAGTGAGTTAGAAACAGCAGAGTTAGAAAAGTTAGTGGGCTTTTTGGGAAAGAAGGGAATGGTAAAAATGTAGGTAGTTTTATTTGTCTAAAGAGGTAATTGCCAATTGCTGGACTTTTCTTCTCAAAGTAAGTAGACTACATTGACTAATCTTCCAGATCACTTATTTACTTAGGTAGAAATTCTACCTATAAGTTTAATCCTATATATTGATAATAAAGAGGTAATATGCAAATTGACCCTTGTGTTGCCTACGACCAGGCCTGCAGGGGGGTTAGTGAGGGGCGACCAAACTGAACAAAACAGGCTGTGTGGGGTGACCAGGCCAGCGTGGGGGGGGGGAGGGGACAGTTGGGGGCAACCAGGCAGGCAGGCAGGTGAGCAATTAGGAGCCAGCAGTCCAGGATTAGAGAGGGTGCAGGCTAGGCTAAGGCCCCTTCGCGCCTCCCCCCCACCCCCCGCACAAATTTTATGCACCGGGCCTCTAGTAGTAACAATAAATACGTTTTAAGTAATGTACATATTTTACCTAATTTAATCTTCCTAACAGTCCTATTAAGTAACTGCCATTATCAGCAGGTGAAGAAATTAGGCACAAATTGATTAATTGCCTAAGGTCACTATTAGGTAACCAAGCTCAGATTCAAAGGACCTAAACTGATTTCAGAGTCCATGTTTTTTGTGTTTTTTTTTAATTTTAGAGAGAATTTGTTCCATTTATTTATGCGTTCATTTGGTTGCTTCTTATATGTGCTCTGACCAAGGGTCAAACCCCAAACCTTGGTTTAAACAGGTCCATGCTCTAACCAACTGAGTTACCTGTTCTTAATCGCTCCACATATTGTCTCTCTTATCTGAAGAGAATTTCTTACTCCTGGTAAACACTATCTCATTTAATCCTAATCTCACTTCATTATGGTAAAAATTTTGAAATTTTTAAAGTAGCTTTTAGGGGGCAGAGCTTGAAGATGGCGACAGAACAGTCGGACTTGTTCTGACTCTGGTCCCAGAACAGATAGAAGCAGCGTCTGAGTCGCTCATGGAATGTTGATTGGCAGCTAAGGGGCAGCGGAATTATCAAGGAAGGTAAGGAAAGGTCCGCTGGACAGGATTTCCTGACCAAGAGGCCAGCACTGCCCTGGCCGTGGCTAGTTCTCCCGGAGGGAAGGCTGCGCCATCTTACCAGGAAATGAGGAGCCTCTCTGAGGCCTGGAAAGCCCACAGTGGGGAGGTTCATCGAGCAGCTGAGATGCCCGAATTGGCGCAGACACGTGGATTTAAGGGAGTTCATCAATCACCCACGGAAAGGTCAATTTGCGGGGACAGCCTGAGGGATCGGGGTCCCGCTGCGCAGGCAGCTACGGTTGCTGGGGAGCTCCAGCTCCTCCCCTCACTGTAGCCAGAGTGCACCCGCCGAGCGGCACCCAAAGAAGGCTGCAGCGACACCTAGTGCTGGGTTTGACGTAATCCTCCCCAGAAGCAGGACTTTTTTAAAACGCCAGGGGTCACGGACAGAGTGTTAAGAATCGTGGCTGTCCCGCCAAGGGCGGAACATCTGGACACCTTGGTGCCTGACCCCCTTGCTTCTGAATACTAGGGAAGGACTGCCCAGTTGGGCATATCCCGGGAAATTGCAGGGGGAAATTGCCTTCCTGGAAACAAGGGATCTGAACCAGAAGAAATAGGGGGATCCAAGATGGCTGCGCCCACGTGAACACCTAGCCACAGCCGCACACAACAACTTCAATAAAATACAACTAAAATATAAAATGGACATTGCCCAGAACTACAGGAAGGTTGACTGACTGGAAATTCTACAGTGAGAAGCAAGGAGAAAACCAGAAGGAGGTGCGGAGGAGCTGGAAAAGCCAAGGTACGGAGACACGGCGCGCGGAGAGGACGGAGCCGGAGAGGAGGGAGGCCGAGTGCCTGGCGGGCGTTCCCTAGTGGAAAGGAGATAAAACTCCGACTGTGCTGGGTCCCCGACTGCTCTGATCCCCAGTTTTAAGCCAGACCCTGGGGACTCAGGCTCAGCCATAGGGAGCCGGGCTGTAAGGCGGAACCCCAGGGAAGTGGCGAAAGGAGGTCCCGGCGGTGCGCACACTGCTCACAGAGAAGGGACAGTCGGCTGTGCTGCGGGATTGCCCTGACAGGAAGGAGACTGGGGCTCCAGACTGCTCTGAACACCACCTCCAACTCCACTTCCAACTGAACTGAACCCCAATACCAGGCTCATTGTGGGAGAGCATAGACTGTTTGACAGCAGGCCAAAATCGAGGGCACCTTTCTCTCAGAGGTGCCGGCAGCGAGCACTGAAGGACCCACATAGGGCAGGGCTGACGGAAGCCAAAGCTGCAGGCTCCACCCTGAAACCCCATCCCATCTGTAACTGCAAAATGCGACAACAAAATAGATCACAAACAAAAGAAATGGAGGACAAAAAGCGTCTGGATATAGAGTTCAAATCTACGCTTATAAGGTTTTTCAAGAATTTCCTAGAAAAGATCAACCAGAAGAAATAGTCTGGGAGCCAGCTGGCACCCTGCCAGCTAGAGCCATAGAGAAAGAAGGCCAGAGCAACCAAAAAGACTGGGGGGTCAAACCAGTAACACACCTAAGAGCTGAATTACAAACTGCCTTTTTTTCTTCTTTTCTTTTATCTTTTAATTAATCAAAAATAAATGGACACAAATAACTAAGATATAGCCTACTTAAAATTAAGGATTACCTTACAAATCTGAGGTGCAGTGGAATGTTGGGAACTGCAAGACTGTGAACCGAGAATCAGGAGTGCCAAATACATTAACAGAGAAAGTGAATGACCACTACTGCACATTTTTATGCTAATTTTACCATTCTTTATTTTATTTTCATTTTTTACATCTTTTATTTAATTTTCATTTTTTTATATCTTTTACTTAAGAAACGATTTTTTTTCTTTTTTCCTTACTTGATTTTACCTTTTTAATTATTACATTTTTCAATCTCTACCATCACTATTACTACTGCTATTTTGCAATTTTTGTTTCTTTTTTTTTTTTTCCTTTTTTTCTTTTTTCCTCTCCAGTACCATTTTATTTTTTCTTTATTTTACATTGGGAGTAACCTTCATTCTATTTTAATCTCTACTATAGCATCACTCAACCCTATCTCAACTCGACCTTTACACCATCACTCTCTTACTAAATTTTACCCTTTTAGTCTCTGGTTTATCCTATCCTTTTTCGGCTTTAGTTTTTCCTCTATTCTTTCTGTATACCCCCTGCTAAAACTCTCACTATACTTATAGACCTAAGTTCCAACCCCTAATCCAAGTGTATAAATACCAATCTCTGCACTATATTAACTAGTTTAAAAAAAAACAAAACAAAAAAAACTGTTCTCTCCTCTATCCTTTTCGCATTGTTTGAGTGAAGGTTGATTATTGTGAATTTTTATGCTTGTTAGTGAAATTGTTA